GGCGAGACGTGCGCATAGCAATATCGATCGCCGGGCGGTCACATCTTGCCACACGCTCGAATTGGGCGGTAGGCCGGCCTAAGACAACGATTTTTAATAATTAATTACTCGTTAACTATTACGAAAATTGTAAAATGGTACAGGACTTTTCCGTTCATCTCGATCCGTTCTACCTTCTCAAAAATTTTGTCGGATATGGAAAGACTCACCCTGTAGATATCGTAACTCAGCAAAGCTGGCAATATTTGTGCGATTTATCACACAAGACCGGCAATAAAAATGCACAATGACAATGCGATTAAAGCGGCCGATACTTTGTACTTTCCGAGAGGCAAATTGTCGAAAATGCGTCCAGCCTCAGTGAGAGTCTAAGCGGTAAGTAGGCGACGGCGATGCCGGCAATCAAGTAACAAGTTAATTATGTCGATAAAATTGCGAAAGGTCAGGTTTGATCGCGACGCTTTAAGAAGTGACGTGGAATGAAAAAGTTTCGTATTTAATAATAACCGTCGCGTTGTAAAGAGAGAAAGAGAGAGATATATATAAAGAGTCGCAACGGATAGGATGTGCAGCGTACCTCGAGAAATCGTGCGAAGGCCGGCTTCGCTTGGCACGTTGTTTTTATCGCCTTCCTCGCGGACTTCCAATTGTCCAGAAACAGGGTGTACGTCTCCAGCACCACTGGCTTCGTGAACTATAAAGCGACACGAGCTCTTTATGTCTTTACATACCGATGAATATGTATGTTGTGCGCGAAACGCAATTCTACGTCCAATAAAAACGTTATTTTAAAAAACGGTCAATTTATTATCCAAGCCCTCGTAAGTCAGAAATAAATTATGATAATACTCGAATGAAAATATGCGCGGCGGTGCCGTCTCGATGTTCAATTTAAATGCATTTCGCTGTTTCATCTAAAATGTCCGAGTCGGATTATTTTGTGACGTTACGTATTTTGTTAAAGGTTTACTTCGTGAAAACGTAAGCGTGGCGCATGTTTGGTTTTATTTTTAAATAATCAATAAAAGGCTTAAATCCGTTTCTGGTGTGACACGTTCAAATGCGGGGCGCGCAAATTCGCGGACGATGAGAACTTGCTAAGGCTTACCCTGCCTATCGAATAATAATAGGACAAGTTTGTAGTTACGCGAAGTTGGCGCTGTCAAAATTTATTCTGTCTGCAATATTAATCGCGCGCCGAATTCCAATACGCCAGAATTAATTCGCGGCTGACAAAGCCAAAGCGGGAACGAATTTCGTCTCACACGTTGTGTCTTGCTTTTTAGAAGAAAAAAAAAATAATCCTGAAATATCGCGGATCGACCGCTGCAAATTTACTCGTTACATGACGCGCGGGAGAAAAATGCGAAACGCAAATAAATGCGTGTCCAAAGATAAAAGTATTCCGTGTTTATGTAAGGGGTGGTGTGGCCGCGACGTTGGCCGGTGAACGGTACGCGCCGCGAATTAACTGTACGGTATCTGTCGATTCCGCCGGCGTCCCGGGAATCTTAACGGCAAAGGAAAACGGATACTGTTGCGCGTTGTAATTTATTACGTGTCCGGCCGGAGATATTTGCGCACCTAGTAACAATGTGAACTCACCACATCGAGGAAGACGTCGCCGATCGTCTGCCTGAGTTCCCAGGTATCCAGTCGCCTACGCAACTCCTCCAAGAATACCTCGTGATGACTGAGAAGCGCAGGGATCTACAATACACGCGTATTTCCCTTCGACAACTTTATCTTTGATTGATCGACGCATAATCGAATAATACTTTACACGAGGGATCACGTCGGAAATCTAAGAATCGATTAAAACGCAGATGCATCAAGCGTCTGACAGGTGGAAGGCTAATAATACATTTTTAACATTACGTCGGATTGTTACATGTTTTTCGATAAAGAAAAATATGGAGGAAAGTATGCGACAAGCTCCCAATGTGAGGTAGCAGGGTTTCTGCCAAAATGCGACTCGCGTGATTAGAAACAATCTTGAAATTTTTGCGGGATTTCTTTGCGGTAGGACGTCAATTATTTAATTATTTTTGCTGAAACACACTTGGAAAATCTCCGAAGTAAAACGGAAATCATATACACGTGTACAAAATAATAGGCATCATCTGTTGGTTCTACCGTGAATTTATTGCCCTCGGAGTGAAATGTGTTCAGCGGAAAATTCATCGTTGAATCGCGTAAACGTTGCGAAAAAAGATTTGCGATTGAATTTGGACGTTGACAGCCTACTATCTCATATTAAAAGTCTATCCCATAATAGAGAACTTTCCTCTATAATTCCTATTAAAAGATGACGAGAGACTAGTAATATAAAAATATCAATGTAATCAGCTCATTGCTAGTTTTATGCTAATATTAAACTTTATAATCCTACTAAGCTTCTTTTGGCTTCAATAAAAGTATCGTGTATTATAGTAAATGCACTCTTTAGATCCCAATTATTATTTTAATAACACCCACACATATTCTAATGTAACGTAAATGTCATTGATATCCAATGAATTAAATATCATTGCAATTAAATGTCAAATGATAAACTATTAACGATCTCCTCTTACTTTCCGACATGACTCATTAATAATTAATAGGTATACGGCAATTTGCTGATCGGTTCTCGACGAATTTGAAAGAATCGAGCGGAACGATTCCCCGGTCGATGCCGTTCACTGTTTGAGCGGGATCGATCAACTTCGCGGTTATATCTTGGATCTTAAATCTTCGGTCGGTCGGAAGATCGTAAAGCCCTCCTCCGCCTGTATACAACTCGACGCGGCATTTAAAATATAACCCCGCGAAGAGAGAGGAGTTCCTCGGTTCCGCGGAACTTCCCGGATGTTGAATTACAGCCCGCCGACGAGGCATAGATTTATGTGCGCGGAATAAGTGCGACGTACACACTTTTAACGGCAAAAATAACGAGAACAGTCTCGCCTTATATGCCCGATACATCACAGCCTACCTGATAAAATATCTCGTCGACTGTCCCGGCGTCCACCAGACCGGCATTTTCGGGACTCTTCAGGGGCTGTAGGTATTTCTGAAACGCATATCAAAGACATTGTGTTCGTATTCTCATGCGGCAATAGTCTTTTTAGTTATTACGGTTTTTTTTATTAAAGCAGCTACAAACGTATAGAGAGAGAGAGAGAGAGAGAGAGAGAAAAAGAATCTGTTGACTTTTCGCAATCAATAGTGTCGTTTTAAAGAGGCAAAAGAATTTGTGTATTAAATTGTCTGCAGTCATTCGCGAGCGAAACAGAATTCGCAATAATAATTTTCCTTTGGCTTTGCCGTTGCTTAAGCTTAAGAAGATCTACATTATATAACAAAGTGCTTGCACGCGCAATCACGGCGGACCTTCGGATTCAATTCCGCGTCCTTCGACGGGGCGCGAGCTTTAAACGTTAGAACTTCAATGCCGCGAGTCGAGAAATGAATTCAATTCAATTAACGCCAACGCGTTGATACCGTAATCGAGCCCGGGGCAAAAAATATGCCCCGCGGTTTATTTGTACGCTGATAGTTCCCTTCCTATTATTTTTCTAGATCGCGTCGGCAACGTGAAACACGAGGGGCCCCCCTTCGTCGTCGGGCCCAAGGACGCCGTTAAATAATCAGCAAACGTGCCGACAACGGTTCCCGTTGTGCGGCGGCCGCCTTGTTTATAAAATATGACAATCAAGCCGGCCGTACGCTCCGTTACGGTGACGCTTAAATTCCGCGGGCGTAACGCGCCGGTTAAAAATCGCCACGGCAGAACTCCGAAGGAACCGGCACGCCCAATTTTGGACGTGTAAACGATAAAGACACGTCCTGGGTTTTAATCCCATGCATTCGCCCGTGATCCAGATGACCCAGTATGATAGCAATGAAAAATTATCACTACACACGTATACGCCTTTCGATTAAGAATACACGTTTCTGTAATCTAACGTTATTAAATTTGTTCCCTTTTTGGGGAGAAAGTAACACGTGTCTGTTCAATGTAATTATTGCGCGCTTGTTCA